TGCAAGTATTGTTAGTAATAGAAACAAAAGCAACAATAAAAGAAAAGCAATGGGAATATAAACACAGAAAGACCCCAAGGAGTAAAAAATGCCCCCCCTTTCATATATTTTTCTATCAGGACAAATCTTAGTAGGGAAGGGGAAAACTGAACCATTGTTGACTTACTCATTAAATAAATGAGTAAATACTAAAAGAAAGCAGAATTAAAACATTCCTGCAAAATCCTGCTGAGAAAAGACAAGAAAAAAAGGAGGGAAGGAAGCAGAAGGAGAACTACATCTTTGTCATGTTTTTCAAGATGCAGCCTCAATTCTCTTCTCTAAAACACTGCTAAGGTAGGTAAAAGAATGGACTAGACATTTTTCCCCACCCTTCAAGCTAGCAGAGAGAACTGAAGAATGAAACAACAGTGGTAACTATGCCCTGTGCCCACTACCCTTTCAAAAAAAAAAAAAAAAAAAGCCCAAAATTGAAACAAACAAACAAAATTGTTTCCTATACTACAAACACAATTGCTTGCTGCACTAATTAAATTTATTTTCATTTTTTTGGTTGTCCAGAGTGTCAGGCAAACTCAAGAAAATCTGCAATATCTGAACAACTCTTTATTTCTCTGGAGATAATGACTACGAATTTAGTGCTGAACGTCAGAATACTATTTGGGAATCTGCACTGTAGATCACAAGATCACATTTGGGAATCATAGGAGTCAGAGGTTCTCCATGAAACCAGTATAGGTGGCTATTACTAGTGAAGGAGAAGGGGGCAATTTTCTCCTGAAGGCTTTCCAAAGCCTCCTGGTAAAGTCAAAGCAGCGAAGAGAGACACTGAAGTTTTAGTTTTAACAGAAACTATTAAATAAACAAATACATAATCAATCTAATCACAGGATGAAATTTGTGGTTTGTTCTTAGCATAAAGCCTCAAGATACAGGCTGGTCAGCCTCACCTTGACTCCTGGGAAGATGAAGCAAATCCTCCTGGAAGCATTTCCAAGCAAATGAATGACAAGTAGTAGATTGAGAATAGTCAGCATGGACTTAAAAAGAGGAAATCATACTTCACCAACATAATACCCTTCTACAATGAAATGATTGGCTTGGCAGCTGACAGTTGATATTATGTACCTTGAATTCATTCAGCAATGCTTTTGGTACTGTCTCCCACAACATCCTCACTAACAAATTGATGAAGTGTTGGCTAGATAAGTGGACAGTGAGGCAGACTGAAAATTGGTGGAACTGGCAAGTTCAATCAGTAGCACAACGTCCAGTTGGAGACCAGTGATCTCTGGTGGACCCCAGGGGTCTATGTTGAGGCCAACACTCAACATCGTCCTCGAGAACGAGGATAACCATCAGCCAGAGTGTGCACTCAGAAAGGCTGCAGATGATACAAAACCGGGAGAGAGTGGCTGATACACCAGATGGTTGTGCTGCCATCCAGTGGTACCTTAAAAGGCTGGAGGAATGGACAGAGATCAACCACATGAAACTCGGTAAAAGGAAATCCAAAGTCCACCCTCTGGGAAGAAATAACCATCAGTACAGGCTGACAGCCAACCAGCTGGAAAGAAGCATGGACAACAAGGTGACCATGAGTAAGCCATGTACCTTTACAGCAAAGAAGGGCAACAGCATCCTGGGCTGCATCAGGAAGAGTGTTGACAGCAGGTTGAGGGAGGTGACTCTTCTCCTCTACCCAGCACTGATGAGACATCTGGAGTGCTGAGTCCAGTTCTGGGCTCCCCAGTACAAAAGTGACATGGACATACTAAAGCGATTCCAGGAAAGTGCCACAAAGGTGACGAAGGGATTGGAGTATCCGTCCCACAAGCAGAGGCTGAGAATGATGAGAAAATTGGGACTGTTCAGCCTGGAAAAAAAGAAGGCTTGGGGGAATTCTATCAATTGTATAAATACCTGCTGGGAAAAGTAAAGAAGAGGGAGCACGATTCTTCTCAGTGATGCCCAGTAATAGCACAAGACGCAACAGGCACAAATAGAAACAGAACATTTCACTAAAACGTAAGAGAAACCTTTTTGTTGTAGTTGTGGAATCTCCAGTCTTGGAGATATTCAAAACTCAACAACGCAATGGCCTTGAGCAGCTTGTTCTAGCTGATCCTGCTTTGAGCAGGGGGGTTGGAGTAGACATCTCCAGAGATGCCTTCTGACCTCAGCTATTGCTAAATACATGAAAAACACAGAATCACATACATGGTTGTGAATTAATTTACCCTGTTCTCTTGCCCCTTATCTTAGCCAAATTGATTTCTTTATGTCAAAATTGTGACTATGTAAATGCCTACGAGCTATACTAACTACTTTAGACCCTAAATGAGTTATAATACAGGTGACCTAAGTATTTTGCACAGATTTTGAGACTTCACAGATCTTGGAACTAAAAGGTATCCCATCTATGAAACTTAATACACTGTTAGTGTGACTACAAATCACATTTAATCATTATTTTGTTTTCTCTTCTTCATTTTAGGAAGTCAGCCTGAAGGAACAGAACACCAAGTGGGAGGTAAAATGAAGTAATTTTTAATTTGATGGAAACATAATCATAGAATCATACAATGGTTTCGTTGGAAGCAACCTTAAAGAGATCATCTAGTTCCACCCTCTCTGCCAAGGGCAGGGAGACCTTCCACCAGACCAGGTTGCTCAAAACCCCATCCAGCCTGGCCTTGAACACTTCCAGGGATGGGGCATCCACAGCTTCTCTGGGCAACCTGTTCCAGTGCCTCACCACCCTCACAATGAAGAATTTCTTCCTAATATCTAATCTAAATCTTCCCTCTTTCAGTTTGAAGCCATTGCCCCTTGTCCTATCACTCCACGCCTTTGTAAAAGGTCCCTCCCCAGCTTTCTTGTAGGCCCCTTTTAGGTACTGGAAGCCTGCTCTAAGATGTCCCCGGAGCCTTCTCTTCTCCAAGCTGAACAACCCCAACTCTCTCAGCCTGTCTTCATAGGAGAGGTGCTCCAGCCCTCTCATCATCTTCATGGCCCTTCCCTGGACTCGTTCCAACAGGTCCATGTCCTTCTTGCACTGGGGGCTGCAGAGCTGAAGGCAGTACTGCAGGGGGGTCTCACAAGAGCGGAGTAGAGGGGGAAAATCCCCTCCCTCGACCTGCTGGTCACGCTGCTTTGGATGCAGCCCAGGATACTGTTGGCTTTCTGGGCTGCCAGTGCACATTGGTGGGTCATGTTGAGTTTCACATCAGCCAGCACCCACAAGTCCTTCTCTCTCCTCAGGGCTGCTCTCAATCCATTCTCCACCCAGCCTGTATTTGTGCTTGGCATTGCCCCAACCCATGTGCAGGCCCTTGCACTTGGACTTGTTGAACTTCATGCCAACAAAGTTGTTGAACAGCACTGGTCCCAATACCGACCCCTG